ACTGGGAGTAGCAAAAGGTCGATATTTACAAAATAAAGGAGGATGAAGGCCCAGAGGTAACAGGAGAACAATGAGGGAGGAGAGCCTCATATGTCCCATGTGAGGTTCAACCTTTGAGCTCTGGAGTTGCTATAGTGACCAAATCAGAAGGGGATGGTGACCAATCAGAGGGGATATCAAGGCACAAAGATCTGCAGCCTTTATAAACCATGGAAAAAGGAACTCGGTGGAACTCTTTCCTCCTCCCCACGTGGGAGTCTGTACTTGTTCTCCAATAAATTTCCACCTTTACTATATCATCTTTCATCTGTGGTTTCATTCTTGGATTCTACCTGACAAGAGCCCAGGAGACCATCCTACACAGGGAAACACCACGCCTTTCCAGTCCAAAATTCCCTATCAGCTTCAGGAAAGAATATCTAAGCCTGTCCCTTAGGAAACTCAGACCTTTGTCATTCATTCATAGCTTGGCTGTTGACCCCACAGGGTGAGCTGGTCTTCTTGCCCATTAATGTTCATATTTGACAACAAAGATGTAGGATATGCCTACACCTTGATAACACTGAAGTATTTGTCTTCCATTTTATTATTTAGTAACATGAGAGTTCCTGGCATAAAATATACAAAGTGCTTTGCACACCTTTAAATAGGGGCAACCTGAATATTGCTGATTATTTACTACCATTTTTTAAGGGAAGTCATTTAGGATGACTCTCCTGCAGCCTTCTGATTAATGCTCATCTCAGCAGCATTTTCCCAGTAGCTTTGTAAAGGTGAACTTCCCTGAATATCACAGCTTCAGTCAGGGTAGCCCAAAAGTAAGATCACAGAACTCTGCATCATTTGGTCCCATGTGAAGCATAATATTTACTTGATGCAAAAAAAAAATTATTTTTACTCCCAGCCCTCCCTCATAGCCACAAATGTTTGCAGCTGAGTGCTCTTTAGCTGACATTTAGGCTGCTTACACAGATAGCAATAAGAAGAGGAAAATAAAAAAGCAAAGAGACTGAACTCTACAAGTTTTATTTTGGATTTCAAATAGGTGTCACGTATCTAGTACCTTTATTTTCAGAACATGTCCCCTGGCCAACATCATCTGCATTATTTTTAAGCTTGTTATAAATGCATAATCCTGGCCCCATCCCAGACGTTGTAGCCAGGATCTATGTTTTTAATACAATCCTTGGGTGATTTGTATGCCCACTGAAGTTTGGAAAGCACTATTCCTTTTAATATCCTGTCTCAGACATCTTTTCATTCTTGCTTTTCATAGGATTTTAGTTGATCACTGGCTGTTGCCAGAGAAACAGTGATTAGCTCCTAGGTCTCATTGACCAGGCTTGTAAATGTGACAATAAGTTTACATTCTGGAGAGAGTATTGGGTAGGGCCAATAAGAATTTGAACATTCTGTGGGTGCCTTTACTACCAGTAAGATCATCAGTGGAGATTTCTACTAAATTCTCTTACAGTAAAGGGGATTTTTAAACAGGTTTATTTGTTGAAGAAATACAATTCAGAACTTCAGATTATGTTTTTAGACAGGGTAGCTCCTTGAAACTCTAAAGCAGGTTAGTTGCAGGCTACTAGCAAAGGAAGTAAATGGTTCCTGTACACCTGTCTCAAGAAAGGAGTTTTCAGGAGTATTTTACTGCTTTGATCCAGGATGTGAAGTGTGAAAGCTCCTCATTGGGTTTTATTGCCTGAGAGATCAGGTCAGTTAAAGGGCTGTGTTTTAAAATAAATAAGTCAATAAACAAAATCATAGATTTGCAAAACAGATTTTCCCTTATTAAAACACTAGTGGCCTGGTGCACGGATTCGTGCACATGTAAGGAAATTAATTAGAAGAAATATTTTAATATTGCTACTTGCTCTTTCTCTATAATAGAAGTGTCAACCAAATTCACGGTCGACAATGACAGATCAAAACACACGTGTGCAATTGGTGTCAGTGAGAGCTTTATATGTATTGCACATGTGCGAGTCAACTTAGCCATATATATATAGAATAAACTTGTTTAATTAGACCTGCTTTCTGATGTATCTAAACTTTTTCCAGCCCAGTGAAGCACCCCAACTTCTCTTTCAGGTAATTGTCAGCAACACAGCAGTAAATATCAACATGAAGCAGATTATTATTGTAGATCACGCAGGGAGAAGAAAGGGTAAAATATTTAACTGCAGCAGTGTTTGACTGTATTCTGCACAGTGAGAAAACCTAAAGTCATTTTCAAGGTCCACCATTTTTTACTCCTTTTCAGTTGGGTCAAGTTTCTAAACTTTCTAAATCTCTGTTTTCTGGCTAATGAAAAGAAAATAGGATTCCATTGCGTCTCCTATCTACCTACTCCAGGACTTCTGTGAGGATCAAATGAGATGAGGCACGGGAAAACGCTTCACAGACATTTGGTTAAAGTATAAAATGTTTCCACCTGGTTATAAGCAAGTCGTGTTCCTGGACTGAAAAAACTTCAGAGAGGCTAGTTGCTAGGGAGAGGAAGCCAGGCATTGCTATGTGACATCATTACCTGGCTCCCACAGTGACTGTTTCTGGGCTGGGCTGGGCTGTGGGCCAGCATTTTGCACCATGGGGTCTTGGCAGCGTTGGCTGCAATTTGGTGGGTTGTTGCTCTAGGGTGGTGGCAGGGCCTGTGTCCCACTTGGGGGAAGCTGAGTGTTGCTTTGTCGGCGCCAGGTCCGCGGTGCTGTTTCTTTGTAAATGGCCAGTGTGTGTCATGGCAGTTCCTGCATTGAGTGTCTGCCCCCTGGTGGTCAGTGTGCATCATAGCGACCAGTTGGATGGTCGGAGGGACACTTAGCATATTAGCCTTTTATATATATAGATAATAAAAACAACTTGTGGTGTATTTCATTAACAGCATTTAACACAAGATATGATTTATATAAAAAATCCAGTTATGGTCAATTCTTTAAGACTATACCTATAGGGTTGCCTGGCACATATCCACTTCAAATCTTTATTCATTTATTGCAGCATTCAATTAATAGTCCTCTATGTGTCAGACATTGTTTTAGAAGCTATTCTCTTTCTTCCTTTCACTGAATCTATTCTATTTTCAGTTCTTCATGTTCATTCACCCAAGGCCATTGGGTGAAAAACTGACTGATGAGTCTACTCTTCTGCTTTGCTCATTTAAGCCTGCCCTGCACTGTCTGGTTGCCAAAGGAACGTAAAAGTTAGTGGAACAACAAGGTGCCCACATTTTGGCTGACTTTTCACATAGTCGTTTGAAAGGTAAAGAAAGCCCATGCTTTTTTTCTTGTAAGGCAGCTTTGTTTCCTGCTCCTGGATAAACGCCACACTGAGTAATTTCAACTGCTAGAGGTTAATTTTCCTGTAATAGCCTTATTGTGATGGAGGATTTTGGAAATTACAAAAATTAGATGCACTACTAATTGGCCTGTCTGGCTTGGGAGCTGCTCCCCAGATTACAACACAGTCAGAGGAGGCTGTATCAAGGCCAGATTTGATTCCCAAACCAACACTTACCAAGAAGACAGATGTGAGGAAAGAAAATTGTTCCGAAAAGAATCACCTGAGTGTGTTATATTCTTTCCCCTAATTGGCTGGAAAAAGGTATAAGAGAGATTCATTCCCTTCAGTAGAACTCAGGGCAGTGTGTCAACAACTATTCCCGGGCACCCGCTGAGGCCACTTGTGAGCTGAGCCAGCAGGAAAAGAAAAAACAGAAGGATATGCTGTTCCCTAATCTGAAAGGGCTTAGTTTGGAGAGGAGAAAATACCAAATCACATAGCCATATAGCATGCTTTCAAATTTGCTGAAAGGATAACTTAGATATACAAAAAATAAATAAAAATGATATTTGCTCATCTGATTTTTGTGACAAAGTCCACCCCAGTGGGTAGTGGTGGCAACTTAACCTCACCAAATAATAACTTTTCAGTCTTTTCTGATGTAAACAGCCTCCCTCCAGCTTATATCTTTGTTCTATACAAAGTTTTCCTCCCAATCATAGCTGATATCATAGTCGTTTCGGGTGATTCAGTCTCTGCAGGCTCAGTCTTTCAGATTTTACTCCCTTTCTATTACTATAAAATGGTGTCAAATGTGAGAGCCTTGGGGGCATCGTACATTTCTATGGGAGTTTGGGAGAAAGAAAAGAGTCCTCTATTCTGTCAGGCTTACTCCATATCTCACCTGGATCCCCCACCTAGAGTGGCCCAGTTGTGCTTTCTGGTCTAGTTCCAAGGAAGAGTGAATGGTTTTATCTGGCCTGGAGAGGGAGCTGGTGGGAGGGAGCTGGTGCCATCACCACTAGCCTCTGTCTGAAATCTCAGCCCAAAGCTGTTTCTTCTCTTGAAACAGTCCTTTCCCCAATCCACCAGTGCTCTCAACCTCTGCATCTCCACTCATTACACACAGGACTTTCCCCACCACTGTGGCCACAGCAAGTCCACAGGAGATCCCAAACATGGCTTTAGTCCCAGCTATTTCACAACTTCTACACCCATACCATCATTTCCACTTTACGTGGGTTATGATTCTGAGCTAAAGGCTTTTATTTTCTCATGGTCATGGACAACCCCAAGATATGGCCAAGCGTGAGCCATTCATTAGCCTTATTTCCCCATACTTTATAGATGTTGTTAGTTTCCCTTGCTGTTGGTTGAGTTTAGGCAGAAACAGGTCAATTTTGTCACACTTCCTTACTCTTACTTTTGTTTATACCCATCATGCCTCTGGTTGAAAGGGAAGGACTCAAAATTCCAACATTCTCTAAATCAGATCCTTCTTCTACTTAGGAAAATAAGCCTCACACCCAAGCTATTGTTGGTAAAAGGCTGTCCTCTCCCACTGTGAGAAATACCTTGTGGTTGGATCCTTGAGAAGTTTATGACTTGCTAAATGAAAGCTCATCTATTAACACAAACTGAATTTCAGATGTTTAGCTTGCTGCAAAATGAAATTTGGATATCAGAAATTTAATTTAAACTGTCTCTCTCTGCATGGTAGAGTGATTAAGAATACATGCTCTGAAGCAACACTGAATGTGAATTTCTACTCTATCACCTGCTAGATTTGTGAACGTGGGTAAGTTGCATAACTTCTCTGTGCCTCAGTTTCTTTACTTAATAAAGAAAAATGACTATAATATTACCTACATTGCAGGGCTGTTGTGCAGATTTTATGAATTTGTATATGTAAAGTGTTTAGAGTAGTTAGTGGGGAAAAGTAAGCAGTATAAAAATGTTCACTATTTTTACATGAATTTGTCTTGGAAGAATCCTAATTGGATGTTTCTGTCCGTTGGCAGGGAGGTCAGTGTCAGGAAATTTAAGAGAAAATTGCATAAGTATATTTTTAAAAGATTATCTCCCTTATACGTACATGAAACCATAAAAGGATAATGAAAGGCAACATATAATTAAGCGCTATATTTTATTTTGCATGTTGTATGCACTGCCAGCATTCAGACAAAGGAGAATGAAGTTGTAGTAATCAGGGGAGTTTTGATAGAGGTCTAGGAAATGAAAGGATGGACAGGATTGGGGTGAATAGATGAGGAATGTAGAGCCTGAAAGATAAAGGGGAGGAATTTTATATTTATAGGCAATATGTGAAAACAGGTAAGCTTAATTATTGTCTTTGGTGAACTCTTGATTTTGTTTCGTGGAAATGGTTCAAAGGACTAAAAATGAATGGCTTAATACTTCCTCCTGGCATGGCAGTAAGACCGAGTTGAATCTGCGCAGATTTGAGTGTATGGCAATTGATAGACTAATTGGGTAGTTAGTTGAGTACTACTTATGATAGTTCTCTAGTAATTGGATTTTCTAAAGATGAGGTTTCTCAAGAGGATCTTCTTTCATTTTAAAAATAAATAGTAGGAGGGAATTGGAATGCTCGGAGCAACTCCAAAGCCCACCAGTCCACAAAGGTGAAGGCTTTCTTTATCCCTTGCTGTTGCCTCTACTTTTCCTTTCTCGCAGATCAAATGCTGACCCAGATGAGGTTCTGTTTCAGCTTTGAGTTTCCTTCAGGTTTCTCTTTGCTTATAGCAGACCAAGTCCAGGATGAATTTTAAGGGATTTTCAAGGAAGAAACAAGTTACAGTAAGAATATTGTGTCTGCTCCTTCCAACTTTAAACCCTCTTAGACCATCAAGAACAGGGCTGTGGTGAATTAAGTCTAGGATTGAATGTTAATCCTGGAAAATAAAAAAATATAAGTAAATATTCTTTCTAAGATTAATCCACAGCCCCCAGACAATTGTTGTAGCTGCTTTTATTTGTGTTTTGGGGATGCAAAAGGAGAGGTAACTGGTAATTTAATTGCCTTAAATACAATTGATTTTTTAATAACTATGTTAAACATCTAAGCTAGCCTTTGAGTGATTCTCTTACTATTATGGTAAAGCCCAAAAATCAAGAGGACAACTTTCTTCCAAGAGTTCCAAGAATTCCATTGACCTCTAGTGCATTAGGATTTACAGTCTATGTTTGGATGTAAATAAGTGTTACTATATATACTCTTGTCCCCCTAAGAATCTCTCTAAAAATCGTATTTTTAAGCGGAGGGAAAAAAATCCATGGAATAATGAAGTCTATCAGCAGGAATTCTAATCTCATTTTAGAAATGTATAGAATCTGTCATTGAAAAGGCAGACTCCCCCAAATTCCATCAAGGGATCTTTCCAAAATCCCAGCAAGTGGCCTGGGAACTGCCAAAGGAGAACTAGTTATTAGACAGATTTTAATTTGTGCAAATCCATTAACAAAAATTTCTAATTAAAAAAAAAATCAATAGAAGCCTGTGACATTAACCAGGAAAATCTAATAGAGGACCATTACAATTTTTTTCTATTCAATTAACTTGAACACAACATGATGGACTCAACAGATACTTTAATTAGATGCATATGAAAAGAAATTGTGCAAAATTAAACAGACTCTCTATTTGCAGCTGATATGAGGACAACTGCAGTAAAAGATTTGCTCAGATCCCTAATGACTAGTAATTTCCTTGAGAGGGACATGACTTCTTAGACAACATCCTTACAAATCAATCCTTCCCCAAGAGGCTGTCCTTTGTCAAGAAAGAGTACACTGTGTTGCCTGTTTCTTTCTCATTTTTTTTTTTCTGGGTGAGGTATTCATGTGGAAAGCACAAAAGGCAAGCTTCAAGGGACTGTTTACCAAACTCCCTATTCCAGGCCTCTCACACTAAAAAATGACCCAAAATAAATGGCTCTAATTTACAGAGTGAACATGTGTCCAAGATTGTGCTGGACATTCTCAATTTATGTCTGTTGCCTTGGCATAGTTATTAATAGCACTCCTTTTTGCTCTAAGTAGTGTCTTGGTTTGGGCAATAAATTATACAGACTTTCTACTAATTTATCAACCATCCCCACTACCTGTTTCACACTACTAAACTCACACTTCCAACTTTTGGTAAAAAGGCAGGATTTCTAACTGCTGATAAGAGGTTAAAATTTGGGAAATTATTGATTATTCACTATTGCCTACTTAGGAAGCATGTAAATAGACATGTTGTCTTCTTTCTGGCCTCCTACCTCTAACTCTATCCCCAATGCTTTAACATTTTGGATGAATATTGAAATCTTGTGAGATGAACTTAACACAACTCTCTCTCAAATCCTAGATGGTTTTATAATCTTTAATTTAAGGAATTATCCTCCTCATTTCAACTAATTTATTAACTTCATGCTACAAACACTTGAAATGGAGGGTTATGTGGAAAATGGTGTATAGCCAACCTCCAGTTGGCTCCCAATGACCCCTGCCTCCTGATGTTCATACTTTGTGTAGCATTGCTCCAGGACTATTTTACTTAACCAGTAAATGATGGTGAATCTTTCTAAGGTTAGCTAATAATAGACTGCTATTTCCATTTTGTGTGTCCTATTGTTTAACTACTCTTCCTCTCTCTTTCATGTTACTTGCTCTGTTATAAACAACCTAGGAAGTGGCCCACAGGTCAAGGAGCTGGTCAGCCATAAACAAGGTACTGAGATTTTCCAACAACCACATGAGTGAGCTTAGAAGTAGATTCTCTAAGCCAGGTTGAGCCTTGAGATGACTCTAGTCTTGGTCAACAGCTTGACTGAAACTTATTGAGAAAGCTTGAGCCTGGACTACCCATATTTCTTGCCCATAGAAACTGTGTGACATAATATATGTTGTTTTGAAGTGCTAAGTTTTGGGTTAATTTGTTTCTCAGCAAGAGCGAGGTGATACACTCAAAATCCCTGCCTCCTGGGAGAATGTAGTCAGACAAAATTAATATGGTGCCCCAGAAAGTCAGTATCAGGAACACTGAAATAAATGGAGATAATAATGATATAATCTATCCATCTATTCATTCAACATATATTTCTTGATTACCAGCAATGTGCCAGGAGCTGTATTAAACACTGTACTAGGTACTGAGAACATAGGAATGACCTGAAGATACAGGGATGAGTACTTGCCTTCATCAAGTTTAGTCTAGTAAAATCTGGGAAAAACAGGAAAATCAACAACCAGTCTGAGTACATGTCTATTTGAAAGGATAAGTAGTTGAAAGTGCATGTAAGATCATTAAATGTCAAATATATTATCATCATTAAAACTCTTATTACTACTATTTACTCTATGCATGCAATTCTATACCAGTCAAAAAAATCAAATGATTCACTTGGACAACAGATAAGGAAAGTAGCTCCTTGTTAATACCTTTAGGAATTGTTTTCCCCCCAGTTTGAAAAGTAACCAAAATGACACTGTGATGTTTAATCACTAAGAGAAATTTGTATATTAATATAGTATAGAATGGTTGGTTTTAGTTGAATATTGTGAACACATGGTGATAAATTTTGTCTGGTGTTAATTTACATGTGGGCTTAACAAAGGAGAAGAGGGATGAGAGGCAACCAGTGGGAAACTAGCCCTGAAACTTTGGTATGTCTCCTAATTTGATCATAAAAATGAGAGCTGTGACTATTTAATATTAATTTTGAAGTCCATCGCTGACTTCTTCAATGGTCTGAAAGAAGCGATTTATTGCCTCCTATTTCTATCTATTAGCATACACTTAATGGAGATAATAAGTGTTAGATAGCTACAGCAGGAAGATTTCAAAAATAAATCACACAGTGTTGAATAAGACTTATGCAAGAGAGAGTTATTACCTGAGTAAGAATTTATCTCTTCATTTCACGCCCTGTGTCATCAGCATTTTAAGGAAACTCTCAGGTGAGACTGTGTGATCCACACTCAGTGAATGTGGTTCTCCCTGCTTTCAGAGTCAGGTGATCTCCTTGCGAGGCAGGGCAGAGCTTCTGCCTGCAGAGCCCGATGCCCTTGCTCTGCACACTAATGAAGAAGCAGTGCTGACAAATCCAAAGCAATCACCATTCTTTTCATCTCCCCTTCTCTCCACAAAGCTTAAACCAATAATAATAACCATTTTACAGCTTTCTCTTGGGAAACGTGGGCTCGACTGGAAGGGAAATCAATTGTTCTAAGGACAGCTATTATTGTAAGAATTAATCACCGCTATTTGCAATTACTGTACCATACAATTATCACTAATATTTATGCCACTTCGGTTGCTGCTGGAGACTGCGTGCCTTTGCTGCTATTGCTCCAGAACAGAGAGACAGAGTGGAAAAATAAATGAAACCAAAGGGCGGAGATGACAGGTTGAGGGGACCCTATTCGCCCCCTGTCGGTCCAAGATGTATTAAACAGCCACTGCCTGCTCATGTCACAACAGCAACCCACTCAGAGCCATAAGTTTTCCTTTGAAAGAAAAGAAAAGAATTGAAATAGGTTTGAAAGGATATAAATTAGAATCATTCTCAGCCTTAAAAGTTTGTTTTCTGAGCCTGCATAACTTAGTTCTTCTGAAGCATCTGATTCTTTGTCATGGAAAAAGGAACCTGCCACTCCCTGCTTTGAAATGAGCTTCCTATCTTGCATCAGTTGCACTCTCCATGGAGACTCACCCAGCCAGGGCTAGTGAGAGACATTTGGCCACCATTCTGTAAGGGGCTATCTGAGATCATAGGCATTAGACTTCACTAA